AAGGATAGACCCTTGATGTTTGTGCTCAATTTTAGAAGACGGTGCTTTCCCGGGAATGACGCCCACTGCACCTTTGCCTCCATCATCGGTCTTCGACGATGAAGTTTCACTCAACAGCGATTTCTCGTCAAGGCCAACAACCGGTCGCATTGTCAAGCAGAACGGCAAAAGCAACACATTTGCACAGATGCAGGGTGAGTGCAACTGTTTTAGTATTTGAAACTACAATACTAGGAGCAACGAGGGGATACAATAGGCACGAAACCGAACCAGAGTACATGGTTACACCACCACAAGGAATCGCTAAACTACGTGTAGCTGTCTCCGCTGTCCCGTACATAAATCTCACAATTAGCGACTCTTGGCGCAGATGCCCCTAAAACTCTACAATATTAAACGACCTAAACGCCATTGAAAAAGAACAACCGATTCGATCAATTGACTTAAAGCACAAAACACTTCGCGCTCGTCTGCATCGCTAGAGACTTGTGGGTGCACGGCGTCGGCATTTTGCCAAGCAAAGACTTAGGAGGATGAAGAAACATAAACGTGGGTTCCCGACACGGTATGATATACTCTAGCCTTGAAAAGTCCCGTCGTGAGACGGAGCGCTCATATAGTCTGCCCCGAATTCAAAAAGGCCTAAAATGGCATGGGGAGTCCGCGTCGCAAGGATTTCGTGCCACATCGGCGGCTAGCTTGTCTGCACTCTCACCAACTCTTTGCTGTCTCCGACAGCGCGCATATGCAGCGCAGACACCTAGGCTGCGACCGCGTAAATTCAAGTTGACGCTTCGGCCTGGTCCCATTTGAAGTAGACTGTATCTAACCGTTGAGCCAGACTGCGCGGAGTACGGGCGTACGTGACGTACTTAGCGTACGCTCGGTATATTTTGTCTAGGAGCGTACGCCGCGCAGTCTGGCTCAACCCTAATGACCGCTTGAATTGTTGAAACTTTTGTACTCACACTGAATTTGTTAACATAAAAGAGCCTAAACTATCTTGCAAATCACAAGAAAAAAATATACAAGGGTGGCCGCATCGCTCCGAGCTACCGTTAGCTCGTATATTTGATTCAACCTGGGTACCTCTCGAGGACTCACCAGACCAGATCCTCCGCCAGAAGCTAAGGCATTAAA